ATGCCAGGATTTATTAGGTAGGTAAAATCAAAAACGTCATACCAATTTGAAACACAACATGATACCTGTAGCAGAGCTTTATAAACCAGCCAGCTGAGTGGTAAGAATATGGGCCCTTTAAAGAGCTGGCAGGCTGGCAGTGATGCTTCAGGTTCTTGTTGTGACGAGTAACTACACGGCAGCGCGGTGGAGAACCGACAAAGAGTTCCAGAGTTGGCTGGTTCCGCTGAGATCATGCACCCAAGTTTTAATAACAACACCTACTTCCCTGTCGGCAGTGACTTCACTCTCACTGAAATGAAAGAGAAGCAAGTTATGGAAATAGAAACCACTTCCATCAGCAATTATGCCAGGAGGCACCACACTGACAGTTTATTGGGCTGGAGGCGTCGGTTCAAACCACAGAAGCTGGCGGGTGATGCGGGCCACGCACCACGCTGGATGGGACACACGGCCCCCGGGAGACACGGCCCCCAGGACACACGGCCCCCGGACACACAGCCCCCAGGACACACGGCCCCCGGACACATGGCCCCCATGACACACGGCCCCCGGACACACGGCCCCCAGGACACACGGCCCCCGGGAAACACGGCCCCCAGGACACACGGCCCCCGGACACACGGCCCCCATGACACGGTCCCCATGACACACGGCCCCCGGCCACCCGTCCCCTTCTCGCGCACTTATGGAGTCCAGATTTCCTGCTGCCATGTGCTCTGGCGTAAGGTGTGTTTGATTCGGGGGGGTTTTCAACGGTAACGGGCTTATGAAGACAAACAGAGTCGGGTTTGGGGCCCCCGGGCCGACCCAGCGCCGCGTGAAGCCCATTAAGCACAGCTGCGCAGCTAGAAGAAAGCCAGTCGGAAAGGGCGGGGGGCCAGCGATTAATACAGATTTAATGGGAAATGTAAACACTGCCTCCAGAACCGCCTCCCCCTCCCCGCCATTTCAGAAACAAGCCGAACAGCCAGTTCCAGGGTCGCCGTGGTGACGGACTCTCCCAACTGTAAATTGTAAATCAGGCCCTGAAATGCATCATGCTAAATGCATTATTAATTAAGAGCCACTGTTTTACATCCCCGCTGCTCCGTGCAGAGGGACCTCCAGGGCGCTGGACCAGTTGCTCCTCATGATTATTCGAGAAAACTCCTACAACTGTTCTGTTTATGTGTGGGAAACGAGCAGCCCGACTTACTGTAACTCCCTAATAACTCTAATTTTAAAAAACATGCACCATTTGCTTGTGCAACCCATTAAATTTATGTTCCATGTTTGCTGTACATAACAACGGATACATGGAATCCCAAGAGTCCCTAATTTAAACACATGTAATCTTTGTCTCCTTACTCATTGTACTGGGTAGGGGTACAACCACCTGAGCGATGGCTGCAATATGTAACAAAATCGGGCAAAATGACACGGACAACTACAATGAAAGAGTGACCGTTGAAGGTAAAATGCCACCGCATGACACCTGGGCTGAGAATTCCAGGAAACCGCCCTTGTTCTGTCAGTCATCGTTTTCGCAGTCACCCGGGGTCAGATCATACGTGATGTGCGCTAGAGAGGCAGGCCGATAATCGTACTGCGCAAAAGGGCCAGTTCATTTTTCCTGCCGTCCTGGGAAATCTAAAGAACGAAAGCGAGGCCACGGCGCGCGTCAGGAAGCGCGTCCGGACTGACGACAGCCGCTGACATGGGGTTCGGGTTGGGGGGATGGGGGGGGGGGGGTGTAGCTGTCCGTGCAACGGCTGGTCAGAAATGCACCCTGAGCGGGAAGCCGCGAGTCCGAGGGGAGTCGCGATCCCCGAGCATGACATCAGCCCGGGAAGGGACAAGCTTCACTGGGGTGTCCTCAGGCCCTCTGAGCGCTCCGCTGGATAATAAAACACTCGTTTCAGAAACACCAAATTACCCCCCCCCCCCCCCCCAGCCCCCCTACCACTGCCCATGGGAGAGGCGCGCTGCTGGACGGGAAACTGAAATGCTTCCACATCTGCAAGTAATTAAAGAGCGATCTGCACTTCGTGTTTTACTAACTAATGACTTAAACAAACCGGAGCTCGCCGAAAAACCGCGGGTCGCCCCCCGTGGGCTGCGGCACCATCATGGTCAGGCCATCGCCCTCTCCGCCGACCCCCCCCAGCGCCCCGCTTGCCCATGGAAACGCTGAGCATCTTTACATTACTTGTAATTTATTGTTCATAATCATCAGCTGCTGTACTGACTGTCTTGGATTTTTTACCTCGTATTTATTTGGCACTATGGCGTGTAAGAAGGACACAAGTATGAATGCAGTAAAAATCCTCAAACCTTAAACAGCCGCTTGAAGTGTTTTTGTTCCGTTCATTTAGGGAGTCGAACACATGTCCATTAAACGAATGCTTTCGTCTGATTCCGATTGTACAGATAAAAATAGGAATGAAGAAACATCTAACGGAGACCGTTCCTTCATTATTAAGGCACTGACGACCCGTTTTAAAACGTAAACATTTAAGATGAAACGTTCCAACCACTGAGATAATTCCAGGATAATTTTAGGGCAGCGCAAAAGATTAGTGGGGTGGATCCGCACTGTTTTTTTTAATCCAGGGCCTTTCTAGTATAAAGGAGGGCAACTGAGTAACATGTGCCCACGACAGCTTTCCAGAACCTTCAAAGCATCGCAGCGTTCGTGTTTCAGGAGGAAACTGTACGCAGGCCAAAAATATCTTACTGGAAGTGGCCTGAGCCAGCGTAACTTGGCATCGGGCCAAGGAACGACTTGAAGATGATGGGGGGGGGGGTGTGGCAGCCCTCATTCAACTTTCGGCAATGCTCTGGATTTGTGGTTCACTGCTAAATGGGCTAACAGACGGCACCCCTAGATGTGTTCAGCAGCAGGCGAGGTCAGCGGGGGCCACTGGCTGTGCTCGCTGCACCTGTTTTTTATCGTGTTCACCCCACCATTGTGCTAATATCCATCATCAAGTCACCGATTCTGCCCCCGTCGTATTCCGGACATGTGGTGGATTTTCGTTTTTGCCCGCTTTACAACAATGAAAAAGCAAAACAAGTATCGCAGATAGCAAATGTCACATTGCTGCCAGAACCTGGCTCCCCAAGGCGAAATTCACAGGATCCATTCATCCTTTCATACAGAAGCATCTTCTAACCCAACAACCAAGTGGTGACCTGCACCTGACCTGTAGCAGGATCACTGGAGAACACCGGAAGTGTTCTGGGTCGCAGGCTGCACCGAGCGGCACAGAGAGGGGCGGGGCGATGGGGCGCGGGAGTCGCGTTTTCTAACATCTGACAGGAATTAATCGCTCCGGCTCTCGTTAGTCCTCGACAACAAACCTGCCATTGTGTGGCCGCAAGGCTGATGAATCACTTCAATGCGAAAATGTGGAAAGAACAGAACCTTCCAGCGGCTCAGGTCCATGTGCTGCTCTCTCGTAATAAAAAGTTCAAATGAAAATGAAAGGAGGCTCCTTGGTGACTGAGTCGGCTGAGGCGCCTTCCCCGCACGCAAACTGACCCCTGCAGCTTGGTTTGCAGCAAGAATCTGGACTCTATCACTCACTGGTTATGACCAGGAGTCCCCAGCCCCCCCCCCCCCCCCCCCCCCCGGGGGGGAGAAAAACTTTCTTTTTTTGGGGGGGGGGGGGGGGCGAAAGGAATCAGCTTGACTTTTCAGCTACACGGATTTACCGAGTGTTCCTGGTGCCTGCGAGTCACCATACGCCAGTGCAGAGTGTTCCGCTGGCTCCACCAATCGGCACGAAGCGGCCCGCTCCAGCGCGGCAGCTGATTTGCTGACACCTGGCAGACACTGAGCCTTCTGTGCAGCCAGGCATACATGCTGAATTGTAGGCAAATTGGAGGCAGAAGTAGGGTTAAGACATTCTGCTGAGGCACTTTGTGCAGCGGAAAATACTTCATTCATTAAAAAGCACCAGAAATATAAGAAGCCAAATCCATCTTTTTTCTAATTAATCAACAGTTACGCTGAAGCCAAATATATAAATTGTATTAGCTGTGCAAGTGTTTGAAGGTTGGGAACACTTTCTTTTTTTTAAAAGGTTTCCTCTTGTAATGACACTATTTTATAAAACAGCATTATTTAACTTAAGGGTTCTCTTGTGTAAAATGATTACTGTTGTGAAGTGAAAAAAACTGGCAGGATTGATTTGACTTTGCAATAGGCAACAGCCGATTCATTCAGTCTGATTTAACTGCCACAACATACAAATCTCACGAATGTGAATGCTTACCTATTAATTGAATTTCATAATTAATGGCCTGCCCCTCAACCACTACACCACCTAGTGTCCACTTCTACTGGCGCCTATTGCTTTCATTACTCTCTTGCCTTTACAATCCACGCACTATTAATTGGTTCCAGGGACGTTTCTCTAAACATAAATAACTTTTTTCAAATACACAGCGTGACAGTTGGCACTGCTCCAAAAACCGCCACGTTTGAAAAACACAGTGCAATAACATTTTAACGTAATAACATTGAGCTGCGCAACTGATGGTATTTCGCTGTGTTTTATTTACGTGACACAAAAGGCCGGTGACTTGATGTACTACCTCCAACCGAACAGTGCTGTAATTCTTGAGCGGAAACAGACCAATCTTCACTTAGGAAAACGATATTCACAGCTATGGCGAGGTGCCTGCCAAGCCTCGCGTGCTCTCCAGGTTCGTGTCTCTGGAAAGCAGCTGACGGAGAGCAGTCTGACCACCACCCAGAGCCAGCAGAACCGTAACCCTGACTCAGAACATCTCTGGACTCAGCTGGGTCGTCCCATGGGATCTCACTGTGTGTGCAGTTTAGTTAAGGGACACTGGGGGACTCGTAAAATGACTGAAGGTGTTTCTGGACACAGCCCCCGAAACAGCATCTGATTTTGTGAGCGTAATTCCAGCTCATCTGCAGCCAGCATATCTATCTGGACCACCTTTACACTTTGGGAGGGGCTCTGCTGGGCTTTGCCAGTGCCTACCTCTGCAGTAGTTCTGCTCATCTGGCGCGAACCCAACAGCACATCGCACCGGCCTGCTACTATGTGAGCCTGCCCCCTGGCCAGGCTGGACCCATGTTGGGGGGGCGGGAGCGGGGGCTTCCTCCGCGGGACTCTCGTCCTCGTTGCCGATGAATATCTGGGCACTCTTGGGGAGGCAGAGGTACCCGCCAAAATGGTTGATGCACTTCATGCCCCCTTTGCAGGCGTCAGATAGGATGGCACATTCATCGATATCTGATGTGTGAAAAGGATAAACGGAGACACGACGAACACGTTAAACGCGCTACGATGCAGCAGCAGGTTTTTACGCAATTCAAAAAAGTTTTGTTGGCTTAAAGTAAAAATATTAACGATTACCTTTGCATTTTTGTCGAACAGGATCAAATTCATAGCCATCTGTGCACTATTAATTGAAACAATGCAGACAATTAACAAGCTGAATAGCGTTGAGATACAGAACCGTACGCTGGTACGTCAGCTCGCGCGAGGCAGACCGCACTTACCGTGTAGGTTACGGGCTCCTCCGCCTCCTGCGGAGCGACGCGGCTGATCACGGCGCAGACGCACAGGCAGATCCTGAACATCGTGGGCTATCTGCAAGAGGAAGGGGGGACGAGAGGAACATGTTATCTTTGCTTATGTTAACTCGCTTTTTCTCATGACAGTACATAGGATTTAATACGAGTTATTACATCAGAATTCGAATTGCTGGGCGAGTCCGAACTTCACCCCGTGCTTACGCACTGTTTTTACTGGCATCCCTCCAGCTGAGAGTTAAATACTTTTGAGTTCTGTTTTTTTTTTCTTTTTTTGTTCGCTTTCCCCCATGGATCACAGTCGCCCTGTGTGCTGCAATGCAACTTCATGTGTTGTTTTCATTAACTGCATCTACGCCCAGGACAATATTTGTTTATACCGGCATTTAATAATTATTGTTTCTTTTTATGATTCCCTTTGCGGTACATGTATTGAATTCCGACTGTATTTTACTTGACAATTATACTGAAATGCACATTATGAAATTAACACCCTGTACGATCAGATTTACATGTGCACCTATTTCTAACGAAATTGACAAAAACGCGCATGGGTAAGTAGCAACTTCTCAAATAACTTTTCTGATTAAAATAAAAAGTGTGTCTTTGTTTTCAGTAAAGTTGACGCAGCGTTCCTTAGATTCGTACATAAAAAATAACCCGCAACTAATTCGTTATACTTGCGTGTATACACTATTCTGTTGGTCATAAAGTAACCGCTCTTCACCTTAGATAACCCTAAGTAAAGTTATATACGTGCTACCATATTTACAGTGCATGCATGCAGGTCAGTACCTGTGAGAGCTCCTTATTGAGTTGCAGATAATGTCTTCGCTTCTTGAGATAGCAGCCCCTTTTTTCCGCCCCTCACAGACGAGGACCTGGCTTTCGCTTCCCGGAGGAGGGTATAACAACTGGCGACTTATATTGGTGGGTTTAATACTGACAACAATCAGACAGGAGCGCGCGGCGTTGCTGGTATGTGGGGGGCGGCGCCAAGCGCAGGTTACTCGCTACCACAGATTCACAGGTTTTTTTCTTTATCGGACATCGCTTGAGATTTACAAAGGCATCCAAGGTAGGGTGTGGCTCCCTCTACAGGTTATTACTGTTCATGATGAAAGGTGCGTAGTGGCGAAGGGTGGGGCCGTCAGAAAACCTGGGTTACAATAAACCAGGTTGCCGGCATCAAACGGATTTCATCCAGCGATTCCCAAATCTATATTTCTCTATGCATTCACATGGTCATACTCCAATTTCTCTATTAAAATGTCATTTTCAGAAACTACGTCTCCAATAATCTTTTATACAATAAGCAAGACACCCAAACCACCAGTTACAATAAAACAGAAGAGCCGAGCAATGAATGGGTTAGAAAATGCCATTAACGTTACAGTAAATATTATAGTACAAAAACGCAACATGAGTATGTGTTATGATGTTTCCTAAGCCCTTCCAAGTTATTTTAGGACCACGTGTACCTAGTTTATGTAGTCACAGTGGCCCTGACAAATTCCAAAACTTGATGAATATGGCAACTGCGCCGTATAACGAGTGTTTAAGCCCAATTAATTGCCCTTCCCACAGAAAAGCAGGCAGTGAAATCATACCCTCTGTTCAAGACCTCTGTCAGCGGGGGTTACATTACGCACTAGTAAATTTCACGGTGTTTACAGAATAGTCGCGTTTTATGAACATCTGCCTTGCTTGGCACGAGCGCGACTTTCCTATAGTTTAAAAGCGGCGCGTGCGCCAGCAACTCCAACAAAAACGCTCTGTTGTGTGCGCGCGGAGGAGGACTCACCGTCAACTTCGCTGACCTTTTATACCCGTCTTCAGTAAGTCATGGAAACAGTAACTTCTTGGACAAAGATGAAGAAATACTATTCGAAAGGAATTTCGTACATTTCGTAGGGCGCAGGTGACATACTTTGAATTGTCTTATAATCTCAATGTTTTATTGCACAGCGTCTTAAAATGAATAATTGAGGATACCTCCTCCAAAAACTGGCTGACAATCTGAGGAAAGTAAAGCTAATTTTCTGTACAAATGCTTCTCGTAATGAGTAGGATTTAATAAGATAATACCTATTATATGTAGGTGTTACCGAAGGTGCTAATTCAACCCCACCCACCGAATGTTCAGGAGACACTTCCGATCCTCTTTTTTCTATAAAAGCCACAATCATGCAGAAAGAACTGGATAACTTACACCAATAAGCAGCAGGTAAACAGCCTTTAAATGATTAGTGAAAGTTGAATTTAAAGTTATTTTAATTGATGAGTCACACACAACAAACTACAGTTAAGATGATTTATTACTTCTTATCTTAACGATGTACAAGCAAGAAAAGTAAATCGTTTTCACAGTCTCATTCCCCACATATTATTTTAAGGTGTGCCAACATAGAATTCATCATTTTTCTAACCATGTACACAACGCGCAAGTTAACGCCAGAGACTTCGGGAGGGCTGTTTGTAGATGTGATATCAAATGGCCACTAGGTGGTGCCAATCCATTGAGCATAGAGTACCGACAGCCTAGAGCAACGGTCAGAGGCGTGCATCCAAGGTCACGTGCTGCAAAATATTTGTCTTCCGCTAAGCGTTCTCCAATACATTAACAGACACCTCAGAATACATAGTCCATTTATACATTCTTAAGGAAATCAACCGCTAACCAAACACGCAGAAGGAACCCAGTAAAATTTTCCGTCCGTTTTCCAACCACTTAACCTGGACCCGGTGACATTGAGCTTCTATCAGGCATCACACAGCACAAGGCAGGGACAAAGTGAATGCAAGTCCACCACAGGCACACTAACCTACACACTGCGGGCCATTTAGAGACGAAGATCAGCCTATGTGGAAGCCTTTGTACTGACAAACGGAGAGCATCCAAACACCACAGACAGACAGGGGCACCACTAGAGATTTGTATAGTTGATAGTTAATCATTTTCGCCCCCAGCCCAGACCAATCCAATTATGTTCCAAATTTTTAGGACCCCTGTCACTCAGGGTCATTGGAATCGTCCTAATTGTCCCCCCTTTATGGTGCCCCTGCACGCAGAGTGGAGTCAGGATTCAGATCCATTACCCTCGATGTGTGAAGCAACAGTGCTACCCTCTGAGTTACTGAAATGTTCACTCAGTAAAATGATCTAGTACTTAACTTCTTTGCAGCACTAATCAAAATATGTTATCAAAATATCGCAAAGGATTTAAAAATGCTAAAATTGTCGGTTTCGATTACTCTTAGTTGCGCAGTCGTGTTGAAATCAGTGCAAATGCCGTATTATTAGACTTTTTTGTAAACATTCTGTATCAGTTTTCTGTTCAACAACCATTTTAGCCAACTAAACAGTGCGGACGCTTTTTAAATACTTCACTGATAAATCATAGCAGTATTTCTGGGCCAAGATTGAGTAAAAATGTGCAGAAGCAGCGCGCGCGCGCACCCATGGGCTTTTATGTGAGTCACATCTGCAGCAGAGGATCAGATTGTAACCCGTGCGCCTCCAGAGTAAACTGGTCAAGGGTACCGTCCAGTCTCAGACTGTGCAGAAATACAATGACTAAAGATTGTTTAGTCAACCCGAGAATGCTAGAATGCCAACCGTTTATCGCGACACGCATTCACCCACATTTATTAAATGAGTAGTTCTACTCATGTGTTACTCCCGTTGAGTAGGCTACATATCAGTCGTGCCTCGTTACTCTGTCCTCCGCACTGTGTATTACTATGGTAACTGTGCTGGTCAACGGAAAACGCGGGCGCACAGATGCATTTCTGAACATTCATTTTTATCATCAGCAGTAATGCTTCAAAACATTTGTTTGTTTACAACAGTTTTAATTTTCTTTCAGTGTTAGTATCTCAGTCACGGTTATTTAATAAATATTTAGGAACTTATTCACCAAACAAACGGCAGTGTGGCGTGGAACATTATTTGACAGGGGCATCCTTGTTGAAATCAATAGATGACTTCAATCAACCAGACGTCTACACACAGCTCGAATTTCTATTATTATAATCGTGAAACTAAGCTAAATCAGGTAGCCTAGCACACTTTTCAATTGTCACGGAAATGAGAGAGAAAGGTAGAGAGAGAGAGAGAGTAGTTAATCATCTGAGATTCTTGCCAGGACATTTATTGATGGTCTCGTAAAAATAATCATCTTACAGTTACGTAGCTTCATACACTTACCTAATTATGTATTCTGTGAAGACATGTAATAAAATATTTGCAAGCGCGAAAATTCGGCCTAGGTTTTGTAGTTAGATCTTAATTACATACTGTTCAGCCCTACCATCATCGTGCATACAATGCAGTGAACCAAATAAAATCAAGTACAAGCTATAAGTTTAACACGTTTAACTCCTTTCACGTCATACTAAACTATACTTAACATTCAGTGTTTAGTAAAACCGGGTTTACCCCACCTACTGCAACCCGGGCACCCCGCCCTGCTGCTGTCCAAGGTGCTGACAGCTATTGATTTTCTGCACGACAAAAAAGAAGAGAAATTATGGCGGCTACGCCCCTTCACACCTCAGCTGCGTCTCGGTCACGCAGAGCCAGTATAAATCTTAACACAACTCCAATGCACAGCAAAGAGTTTTTTGATATAAAAAAAGGGTCGCTCGATACTATGCCTAGATTCTTTGCACAAAAAAGTGTTGCCTGTTTATCGGCTCAGGTATCAACCTTCCTACACAACATTAAAACAGGCCAGTTCACTAAATGCCAGGCGCACTGGTTAAAACTTGTATTCGGAGTATTCCAAGCTCATCGGTTTTTAACTGTAGCCAGTTGCTAAATATAGGCTATATTTAAAGATGAAAATAAGTAGATTATAAGAAAACGCTTTGGGGCGTTCCTTTTGATGCTGAAGGCAATGCATCAAGAACTGATGGCACCTCTACATTAACCAATCAGTTCCTGATGCAGTACCATCGACATCAGAAAACTCTCTTCAACAGACCTTGCCTTGTTCGGCGTACAAATAAACATTCAAATACGGGTGTATAAATTACCGCCCGAGGCAAACGAAAAATAAATCAAAATGAATTCATTCAGCCAAAATAGGCAACAGATGGTACTTCTGACTAGACTCGTTGAGGATATACACGCCCGTAATTGTAGCGACACCTTTCCTGTGATTTCCAGTCACAGAATAGGCTACATCACGCCGGTCGATAGACGCCGCAAAGCACTGCGTTTAGCATAATCCCAGCAGCCGCTGTGAGATCGGCCACGAAACTGCTCACAGTTGCCAGCTGAGATTTAACCAGATCGCAGCCGATTAAGTCACATGTCGGCCCGGCCCCTGGGGGCTGACAAGGGGACGGATGTACGCGGGACCTGCTGCGTCCTATCCTGACAGCCATTGAAGGTATAGCGCATTAATATCTCGCGGCTGGATATAAAAACCGTATTTTCACATAACAACATATAAAAACACTGAGGCTTCTTTTAATGTAGTTAAACCGTTAAGGGCACACGTGTAACTTACAATTTAAAAATATTTATAATGTTGAGATGAAACTGTTGTTAACATAGGAGTAAAGAGAGTCCCTCAAATACCTTTTATGACATACAAATGAAAAAAACAGGAAAAAACAGAAATGCAAAAGAAACTGGGAAATACAATACAGGTGAAACTATTTTGGGAAAAAATATGTTTGTCTTACAGGAAGTAACAGAAAATTGTGTTAGAATCTAACTTAACTGTCACCAGAACCTTTTCAAACCACCTCTTGCTCACATTACACACTACCTCAACAAGTCCCCTAACCAGGATGCTCCAGATATGAGCCTGAGGTAGGGAAGAAGAGCCCAGAAGAGACAAACTGCAGAATCTCTCCAGGTGATTGTGAGAAACACACCACGTCACAGTTGCCTGCAGAGATTACCCAGTCTGCCCCCTATGCTCGAGCTGCAGTGCACAACCACATATGCTCCAGCTGCAGTGCACTGACCCCTATGCTCCAGCT